CCAGATTTGTCTCCAGGATGTCAATTTCCAGATGATTGCTCAGGCTGCATACCAACCTTCACCCAAATCAAAGGCCCCTAACCCACTGGACCGGCCATTAGCCAGGTTTCAAAGTTAGCCCCCTTGACAGGACCAACTGAGGCAGAAACAGCTCTATGCCCCTTGCCAGCAGAAGCAGTTTCAGAAGCTGAGACCTTCACCCCTTACCTCAACAGATTTTGGATCCCATTTGTTTGGGGTGGAGTATGATGGGGTGATGGGACCTGGACCCCTAAAAGGAAAAGACCATGTCTAGGGAAGCAACCCAGTTCCTGAATTGTTCTATGCATCCCAGCAGCACAGATCATTGGCCCATGCCAGACTACTTGATCACCTAATTAGCTAATGATATTCCCTTCCTTGTTTCACTTGGTGCCACCCCAGACTACATACAACTCCTTAATCCCATCAAATCCTCTCACTGTCCTATTTGTATATAAGCATCGTCTTATCCCCGTTAAGCTGCAGGTTCACTAGGAACCCTGCCTGCTTCTATTGGTGTTACAATAAACTGTGCCTTAACTGGGGAAAAAGAAAATATTGGTCTATGCCCAATTTCTGCCATACTCCTTTTCAGTTTTCCCAACAATTTTTCCAAATAATGAATTCTTATCCCAAAATCTTAAGTCTTTACTCTTGTCAAATACAAAGTTACTTATTTGCTGCTGTAAATTGTATGTGTATTCTGTTTATTGATTTACTTTTCTATTGCTTAGTCACTACCAGATACTTTTGGTAATTACTGAATTATAATATAGTTTAAGAACTGGTATTCCTAAACCACTTTCCTTAGCATTTTTTTCATTAGTTCCTTTGATAACCTTGACTTTGTTCTTCCAAATGAATTTTGTTATTTTTTATAACTCAGTAAGTTTTTTTTTGTGTGGGGTTGGGGTGGGTGTGAATAATTTAATTGGGATGGCATTGAATATATAAATTAGCTTAGGTAAAATTGTCATTTTTATTATATTGGTCCAGCCCACCCATGAACAATTAATATTTCTCCAATTATTTAAATCTGATTTTATTTGTGAAAGGGGCTTTAAAATTTTTTTTTAGTAATTTTGTTTATATACTTCCTGGGTTTGTGTTTGGCAGTTATACTCCCAGGTATTTTATACTGTCTAGAGTTATTTTAAATGGGGTATATGTTGGAGTCAGTTTTGCTAAAATTGTTAATTGCTTCAACTAATTTTTTTTAGTTGTGTTTTTGGGATTTTCCAAGTATATGATCATATCATGTGTAAAAAGAGATAGTTTTATTACCTCATTCCCTATTCTGATTCCTTCTATTTCTTTTTCTTCTCTTCTTGATATTGCTATGATTTCCAATACAATATTGAATAATATTGGTGGTAGTGAGAATCCTTGTTTCACACCTGATCTTACTGGGAAGGCTTCTCACTTATTCCAATTACAAATAATGCTTGCTGATGGTTTAGATAAATGCTTTTATCAGTTTTCTGTTTTTGTTTTCTGGTTTAGGTATCAGTATCATATTTGTTTCACAAGGAGTTTGGTAGAATCCCTTCTTTGCTATTATTCCAAATAGTTTGCTCAGTTCTGGAACTAGTTATCTTTAAATGTTAATAAAATTCACTTGTAAATTCATTTGGTCCTGGTGTTTTTTTTCTTAAGAAGCTCATATATGGGCTGTTCAATTTATTTTCCTAAAATAGTTCTTTTTAGATACTCTATTTCCTCTTCTGCTAATCTAGGCTATTTATACTTTTGTAGATATTCTTCCATTTCACTTCAATTGTTAAATATATTGTCATAAAATTGAGTAAAATAACTCCTAATAATTGCTTTCATTTCATCTTCATTTAGTGATATATTTATCCTTTTCATTTTTAATGCTAGTGATATGATTTTCTTCTTTCTTCCTTAAAATCAAATTAACTTCCACAGAGCTGCACCAGGGAAGCAGAGCAGTCCTCAAAGAACTTTCACCTCATCTGACCCAGAATGAGAATCAGATGGCTGAGTAAGCAAAGATAGAAGGACCACCCTCACCCTGCTGTTTCCAGATGCTAGGTCTAGCAGGGCTGATAAGACATGATCCTGGGCTGTGGCCATGGGAAAGGAGGAGTGAGCTCACAACAAGTGTGTGAGGTACCAGTACAGCAGTGGAAAAGAGCATTTTCAGGACAGTGAGGCTCAGGGTCCTATCAATTTGGAACTATGCCCTGAAAGATGCTAAACTGTACATAGCCTTTGACCCAATGATACCACTACTAGGCCCATATCAGCAAAACATCAAAAAACAAGGGAAAGAAGCATATATACAAAAGTATTTATAGCACCTCTTTTTGTGTTAGCAAAGAATAAGAAGTTAAGGGGAAACTTACCAGTTGGAGAATGGCTGAATAAATTATGGTATATGAATGTAACAGAATACTATTGTGTCTGAAGAAATGATAGAAACGATTATTTCAATGCAACCTGGGAAATCTTGTAAGAACTGATACAGATTGAGCTCTGAACCCTTTGCCAAAGGGTTCACTAGACCTCTGTTTCCCCAAACACCATCTATAAAATTAGGGAAGGAGCTAGTTGATTGATTTCTAAAGTCCCTTCCTTGGTGCCATCAAGGAACTGATCATGGACTAGGGGAACACAAGTGTTACAAAATGATTTTAGATAAAGATGTTCTCCTGACTTCTAATCACAAAGGGGCAGTCCTTTTTCAGTGCTTGTTGGAAAGAGCAATGCTTTTGCCTTGCTTAAGTGATTCAGGGTCTTATGTGAATCTGCAAGAATGGAGAACAAGGAGAAAGGAGTTCCTGTGGTTATGATAAGGCAGGTAGGACTTAATGAAGGGGGACTCACTGAGAAGTCTTCAACTCCCTGGGTCAGGGGAATTTAGTGGAGCATTTCTAAGTTGGAGTCATAAGACGTGAGTTAAAGTTCTGAAACAGATAGTCGCTGCTCCTTTGTGGACCTCATTTTCTGCATCTGTAAAATGGCAACAATATTTGCACCAACTAACTTACAGATCTGTCCTGAGGAAAATACTTTGTTGCTATAGAAATATGTTATTATTAGACCATAGAAATATAAGGGATTTCAGATTTAGATCTGGGAGGAATCATACACAATAGTCATCAATTGCAACCACCTAATTTTAACTGAGCCCCAGAGAAGTTCAGTAATTTGCCCAAGATCAGACAGTTAATAAGAGGCAGAGCCATTAGCTGAACTCAGGTTCCCCGGACTTCAAACCTGATGACTTTCCACTCCAGCACCTAGAATGGGGTGACCACAGTGGACTATTCTCCCACAAGTAAATTGAAGCATATGCTATATGTGTGAATAGACCACTTCACCTGGCTCCTGGTGTAGAACTCTGGTTTAGTAAGCGCTCCTGAACTGAAGATGTCTGAGAACCTCAGCTGGCTTACTGCTTGCTTAGATATGAAGCTCAATTCTCTCTTTACAACTTCCATTCCTCTCCTCTGAATGAGATTCCATTTCTGGAATCCTGATCTTTTTACCCCACCCCACATTTGAACCAATAGGACAGACTGAGTAATTTATGATTAATCTGTGGCCTCTAACAGTGTAGAGACTGGGTAAAACAAACCCGAAAATGATCTCACAGCCAAGGGAGAAAGAGCAGGGGAAAGTGTTAGCACAAATAACACGCTAGGTTCCAAACTAGATTTGACACCTCCTATCCCAATAACTTCCTTATAATTTCCCAAACAACTACTGGAGTCCACAAGAGAGGCTGGAGAATGGGAAATATTTATCTAGTTAAAGATAATGGTCTTGAAAGAACACAGTGGATTTAAAAACACATTTAATTCCACCTAAGGAAATCTTCTGTTGTTGTTCAGTCCCAACTCTTTATGACCACACTTGAGGTTTTCTTGGCAAATATACTGGAGTAGTTTGCCATTTACTTCTCCAGCTCATTTTAAAATTGAGGAACTGAGGCAAACAGAATTAATTGAGTTGCCCAGGGTCACACAGGTAGTAAGTTTCTGAGGACAAATTTGAATTCAGGAAGACGAGTCTTTGTGATGCCCAGCCCACTGCTCTATAACAAACATAAAGCTATAATAACCAAAGTCTTTCTGGACATCCAGTAGACACATGCCCAAACATCACGTATGATATCTGTCAAACATAGAAAAATGATGGCAAGGGTCACATTAAGCACGATAAATATATGGATATAAAATTGTTACAAATGCATTTCCCACCTATTTTACCAAATCATGAAGAAACATGGGATTTGCATATTTAGCTACATAAAGTAAGGAAGACGGATGTAGTGGGGAAAGCATTCAATTGGTGCCAGGATGCCTGGATTCTGAAATTAGCAAATAATGTGGTCTGGGGCAGGTCATATCACTATTCTGGACCTCACTTTTTCTCATCTATAGAGTGAAAAGATTGGACCAGATGATTTGGTGAGAAGCTAGGAGATTTGTGATCTCTTCAAATGTTCATCCTTTCCTCAAATAAGATCAGAATCAGCTAAGATTTGCAATGTGGCTGGAGGTAGAACTCTTCCCTATGATCATCCCAATTTTATAGATAAGGAAACTGAAGCATACAGAGAAGTGACTTTCCCACAGTCATACAGCCAGTAAGTGTTTAGGGCTGGATTTCAACTCAGATCTTGTCAACTCCAGGTCCTACACTCTGTCCAAGGTACCACATCACTACCATCACATTGTAAGCAGTTAATCTGCTATATGAGTACAATATGTATATGTGTTGAAGTGCATAGCCTGAGGTATTTAAGAAGTAGAAAAGGGTTTCTAACATATTAGTGGTGGATGAATGCACAGAAGTGCACGATAAAAGCCCAGCTACCAAGAAGCTTAAGAACTAGTGAGGAGCACAGAACAGGATCAACTAACATTTCTGAAAGAATACACAACCTAAGATGGGTATATAATTCAGTCTTAAAATGTGAATCACAGATTGTAGTAAAGAGGTCACAAGGATATGGCATCTAAATTGTGATGTGAAGAGTGGGTAGGATTTTAATCAGTGCAGGTGAAGAAAAGAGAAGAAATATTCCAGGAACAGAGGAATTTTCTGGGAATGTTGGGGAAACTTAAGTCATGATTTTGGCAAAAGTCAGAGGGAGTCTTAGATTATTCTAGAAGAGAGTATTGGGCTAAAATCATACAGGGCTTTCATCGCAGTACAATGGAATGAATACAGCTTATCCATAACAAATGAGGAGAATCTAGAGCAGCTGGAAATAGTGGTGGTCCTTCATGCTTTTTAGAAAGGTAGAAAGCAGAGCTCATAGGAAGGGGGTACTTTGCCAAATTCACTGGCAACAGGGGAGGTGTCAATATCTTTGGGGTCAATGGGAAATTTCAAGGTAAAATTCTGTAAGGTGATAGTAAAAAACAGAAATAATTCCATCTGAGCCATGTTCTCCCCAACACATATCCGTGTTCCTGAAAGAGATAATACAAGGATTTGAAATTAGTAGACTTCTAAATCATCTAGACAACTTCTTCAGACTCATAGGTAGCCCACTAACACTCAGTGGCATTAGGCAAAAGAATGAATGCATTCCTTTCCTCTCTGATCCTTGACTCCTTTGAGGAGCCTATGCTCCCTGAACAGAAAAGGAAGACCCCTCCAATTATGCATTTTCTTAATCAATCCCCCCCTTCCCCCCCCCCCAGTCAAAGCAAGTCCTGCGATTTATATTCAGGAAAAAAATAGTCATTGCCCTAGGGAGAAAACAATCACTCATTTATGATCCAAGGACTAAGTTTATGGCTACCCAGAGAGGAAATGTGGCAGAAGAATGACTGAATTTCCCTCTGGGAACTTCTTGTCACCATTCTGGACAGAAAATACCTCTGGGGTCTACCCTGCAACTTCAGGGCCATCCAGCCAGTTGTCTTAATTACTCACTCCTACCTCTAATCCAAGTATTAGAATCAATTGAACAGGGCATGGCATTGGAGATCACAACTTCAGGGATAATTAACTGCCTGCCAACATTCATGTCTGCCATACCTAGACTTGGCTATCACCACCACTACCTGAGAACCACTAGATTTCCCCAAGAATTGAAGGTGAAAGGACAAGACAGATCATCAGTGATAATTCTGTACCAATAGATCCCCATTAAAATCTACATAACTAGGCAAGAGAGTTCCATACTCATGTGTCCTAGTCAGCAGACAGGTTTCTACAAAATCACAAACTCTAAGATTATACCTTTGGTGACCTTAGCTATAATGGTTCCTGAGTAATGGGCCTTAAGATAACCCAGTTCACTGCCTTGGCTTGATAAGATACAAGATTGTACCATGCTAACATAAAAGCCTGGAAGACTTTATCTGAGAAGTAGCTCCTGGTTGAGGGTGACTGAGAGGACAGTTTTTAATATGAGTGGTGGAGGAGGCTTTAGTTGTGGGTCTGGATGCAGAACAAAGTGGCCACTATCTCAGTTGTCTTTTTTTTTTAAATAAACTCAGGCAACTACTGTGAAGCCAACTGATTTAGTTTAGCTGATGAATTAGAATACCCAAGGAGAATTAGAATAATGGTGTATTATGTCTCCACCCTCATCCCTGGTTTTAGAATTTGGAAAAACCAAAATGGTCACCTATTCCAACCTAATCTTTTGGCATAAAAGGTAACTGAAGCCAAGAGAAACAAAATAATTTGACCAAGGTCACACAGGCAATAAGTAGCAAAGGTGGATTGAAACACATTTCCTCTGAGTTATCAATCCATCTTTGACCTACGCATTTAGATGAATATCTTACCAATGCTGAAAAAGGCATGAAATAGTCACTTTTCTTAAATTTGCCGCTTTCATCCAGGAAGTGACCTGGGTCAAACTTCTCCAGATTGGGGAACTCTTCATCATCATAATGAACAGAAGACAGTGCTGGTATTATGGTGGTACCCTGAAATGAGTAGATAGAAACAAATAACTAGAAAATAAGAGCCATAGAATGTTAGAGTTGAAAGAAAACTCAGAACTATCCTCTAGTCAAAATCTTTCATTTTTAAGTATAGAGCCAACACCTGTGCTGATAGTAAATTAGAAAGTCTGCAATTATATTGTGAGAAATGAAACTGAATTTTGACACCTTGTGGGAAAGAACCGGTATCAATGAGTAAAAGACACAAGGAGGCAGATCTCAGGTTAATAAAAGTTAATAAAATAACTTTTGACCATCAGATCTATCAAAGAAGGAAAGAACTGTCTGGGTGAATAATAAGCATACCAAGTTCAGGCAGATGCCAGATGATCTGAAGAGGTAGAAGTGAATTCTGACCTGTATCAGGATGGTGAAGAATAAAACAATATTATGTAGAAGAATAAGGCAAGAGCTGATAAACAAATTGGGAACTCCTCTTGAAGATGAAGAAATTAGATGTTCTAAGGAAGAAGTAATTACTTGTCATCTAAAGAATGTAAAGTAGGTATGGTAAAATGGTAAAGTAGGAATGGTAAGAATTGTAAAATATCCACAAGTGAGTTAGCCTGAGGTTTCTTCTAACTCTAAGATTCTATAATTAAATGGGAGAGATTATGAAATCTTGTGCTGTGTTATAGTGAGAAACACTTCTGACCTTGGGGATAAGATATTGTCTAAACTGAATATCTTCTGTCACTGCATGTGGCAGGCTGGTTGGAATAAGGTCAATGTATCGCTCTATCTACTGTACCACAGCATTGGTGTAAAGCATCTTGTTTCTGTCCTCCATGCATGGACCTCGATCTCGGCCGATCACATGATCAATTTCTTCACGAAGTTTTCCTGTCACAATATGAATGAAAATTGATCTTAGAAGTAGGAACAAAAACTACCTTCTCTCAGATTTTCTCTGATTTTCACCAAGAGCAGCACTGGTAAGTAATGCACTTGACACTCACATTCTTATAGATAGATAGATAGATAGATAGATAGATAGATAGATAGATAGATAGATAGATGAAAATTCCATTTTAATCTCTTAAGCCAGCTGAGAATCCCTTGAGGCACCTATGCCCCATGCACTCAGGACAGGCTCAAGTTGTTCTTAAAAAAAAAAAACACGGGTGAAGCCAGATTTGGTTAAAGAAATGAAGAGGGGTCTAAGTCTGGAACTGTTCCAGAACTCAATGTGACCAAGCATAGGCCCAAAGTACTTCCCTGCACGGCTGTATAAGTGACAAGAATCCAGAGGCATGAGTTCCTCCTATGGTCAGTCATGGTCAATAAGCTATCAGGAACTAGTGCCTCTCAATCATTCCGTTCCCCTAAAGTCTATGAGTGGGCTATAGTCTCTATCTCTATCACTATATTAAGGAATAACTCACAATTACACACAACTTAACTAAGCAGAGTGGGGATAACAGTGAAAAAAGAGGAATAAGGAAACTTGAACATGTAATGACTTAAATATATTAAAATGAGAACAGAAAAGTTTCCAAGGAAAGTCTCAAAAGGACCATGAACCCCTCTCATGCTGACTAAATGAAGGATGTGTATGATCAGTCTGTAATCTCACCTGTTATCTCAGGGTGTTTCAGGAGAATCAGGAGTCCATATCTCAGTGTGGGCTTGTTGTCTCTGTTCCTGCTGCAAATAGTTCAGATGCAGTACAGACCAGGTTTTCAATGGTGAATTCAGAATGTGGTTGTTGCTTTTCCTAGAAATAATTTGGTATGATTAATTGAAAAGTAAGCGAGGCAGCAGGGAACAAGGGAAAGCATAATGAATTTGGAGGCAGAGGACCTTGGTTGGAATCCTAGTTCTGATTTTTCTTTTAATTATTTGTGGGGAGGCAATCAGGGTTGAGTGACTTGCTCAGTAAGTGGCCAGTGTCAAAGGGTGGATTTGAACCTTGGTCTTCCTGACTTCAGGGCCAGGATTCTATCCACTGTGCTTCCTGGCTGCATCCAACCTACCCCCCAGCTCTGATCTGCACCTTGGACAAGTCATTTTATCTTTTTACATTTCCGTTCCCTCATCTGTAAAAAAGAAGGGGTTGGATTCAATGACCTCCAAGATTCCTTGCAGTTCTAAATCTATGATCCTATAAATCAAATAAGTTTGAGCAACACAATCCAAAGTGCAACAAGAAGCTGTCAATTATCAAGGCAGTTTGGCATTATACGTATTACATAGAGAGAGACAGAGAGAAGAAGGGGAGAGAGAGGAGAGAGAGAGAGAGAGAGAGAGAGAGAGAGAGAGAGAGAGAGAGAGAGAGAGAGACTAGAACTTGCAATTTCATTGGCACAAGGAATTTCCAATTAAAAAAAAGTCTCTCTGCCAATGCATGTTTGCAATTTCTCTAAAACAAAAAAAACAACAACTAAATTTTCAAGAGAGTTGCCTAGCCTTAGGGCACTGGAAGGTTAATTGAATTTGCCCAGGATCATATAGGCATTTTGTATCAGAGATGGGACTTGAACGCAGTTTTGACTGGGTCTGAGGTCAGCTCTTTATCTACTGAATCAGGGGTGTCAAACTCTCAGCCCCTACATCAGAAACAACCAGCAAAACTGTGAGCAGCCCAAACCAAGGTAAATGTAACTGGGAAATGTTTAGCAAAATAAATAAAGATACAATACAACACAGATAATGTTAATTTGTGGGATTTCTAAGTCAATATGAAGCCCACTGGGATCCATTTCTATTCATGTTTGACACAACTGTACTGCATCATTCTATATAACATATATCAAGAATATCTGTAGATATATACAAGCAACTAGGTGGTGCAGTGGATTGAGGGCTGGACCTAGAGTCAGGAAAACTCATCTTCCTGCATTCAAATCTGGCCTCAGATACTTACTGGCTCTATGACCCTGGACAAGTCACTTAACCCTGTTTGCCTCAGTTTCCTCATCTGTAAAATGGGCTGGAGAAGGAAATGAAAAACGACTCCAGTATCTTTGTCAAGAAAACCCCAAATGGGGTCATGAAGAGTCAGACACAAATGGAATAACTAAACAATGTAACCTATTGTATTTTCCTCCCGATTTACTAATCTAAGAAATCTTGTTACTTTATATTAGTTTGAGATAAACAGGATTTATTAGTTTAGCAAATGAGAAAGGAAAAAATTATTAATATATATGTATATTTTTCCCATTCAATCCTCATTAAAATACTGTAATATAGGTAGTACATTATTGTTGTCATTCTACTAATGAGGAAATTGAGACACTAATCGCTTTGCCATTGAGATGCTGGTACTGAGGAAAAGTCACCGAGGTCAGAAATTGCCAGGCTGGGAGAGAAACCTGTAGTTCAGTGTGGGTGTGCATGCAAACACCACGCCTTAAAGAACCTGGAGCAGGCCTCAGGGGACTGAACCATGGGCAGCTATGGTAGTTTCCAGACTTATCAACCCACAAACGCCAAAGACAACTTTGAAGCTCAATAGGAAAAGTCTGTGACCCTGGTGAGAGAGAAGCTGGGTCCCAGCCCCAGTCTGGGCATAGCCCCAGGGCAGCAGCTGCTTCTGGAGCTTCTGGCCCACAGACTGAGGAGGAATTGAGTGGCTGAGCAGAGGGGAATTACAGGGATCTCTTTGCTGGTGCTGAGACAGGATTCTTTTGCTTTGACGGTGCTTAGATCTGGGTCACAGTTCTGGGTGACCATCCTGGGGCAAGGAGGATCGCTGGCCTGGTGGAGCTTGCAGTGTCAGTGAAGATGAAATTCCTACTCACAGTTCCATAGCATAAAAGAGTGCTTGTGGTTACACATAGACCAGAGCACAGGGCAGGAAAGGAGTAAATACCTCACTCTTGATCATACCACCTTGTAAGAATTGAAAACATACAGGTCCCTAGAAGCATCTCTGAAAACAACTGCACAAAACCCCCAAAGCTTAGGACAGTACATCTTCTGCACTGGAAGCAGACCCCTACCTTAACAAAGAGTTTACAATTCAAGTAATTGGCTGGGATCATGAGCAAACTGCACAAAAATTTTTAGATCATAGAATCTTTCTTTGGTGACAAAGAAGATCAAAATATACAACCAGAAGAAGACAACAAAGTCAAAGCCTCCAAGAAAAATATGAATCAGTCACAGGCCATGGGAGGGCTCAGAAATGATTTTGAGAAGCAAGAAAGAGAAGTAGAGGAAAAACTAGGAAGAGAAATGAGAGTGATGGAAGAAAATCATGAAAAACTAGTCAACAGCTTGCTAAAGGAGACTCAAAAAAATACTGAAGAAAAGAACAACATAAAAAGTAGCCTAGGAGCAGCTAGGTGGAACACTTACTAGCTATGTGACTCTGGGCAAGTCACTTAACCCCATTGCCTAACCAAAAAAAACAAAAACAAAACCAAAAACAACCAAATAGCCTATCCCAAATGGCAAAAGAGGTCCAAAAAGCCAGTGAGGAGAAGAATGCCTTAAAAAGTAGAATTGGCCAAATGCAAAAGGAAGTCCAAAAGCTCACTGATGAAAACACTTACTTAAAAATTAGAATGGAGCAACTGGAAGCTAGTGACTTTATGATAAATAAAGACATTATAAAACAAAACCAAGAGAATGAAAAAATAGAAGACAATGTGAAATATCTTATGGGAATAACAACTGACCTGGAAAATATGTCCAGAAGAGATGATTTTAAAATTACTGGACTATCTGAAAGCCACAATCAGAAAAAGAGCCTATACATCATCTTTCAAGAAATTATCACAGAAAACTGCTCTGATATTCTAGAACCAGAAAGTAAAATAGAAATTGAAATAATCCATTGATCATCTCTTTTTTTAATATAAATTTATTTTTAGTTTTCAACATTTACTTCCACAAGATTTTGAATTCCATATTTTCACCCCATCTTGCCCCTCCCCCACCTCAAGATGCCATGCATTCTGAATACCCCTTCCCCTAGTCTGCCTTCCTTTCTATATCTCCCCCCCCTTCTCTTATCCTCTTCCCCTTCTATTTTCCTGTAGGGCAGGATAGATTTCTGTACCTCATTTCCTCTATTTCTTATTTCCCAGTTGCATGAGGAAACATTTTTTTTTGTAAACATGTGTTTTTAAAACTTTGGGTTCCAAAATTTCTCCTTTCCTCCCAAAATACAATTAGCCAATTTGAAAAAAAATACAATGAGGAAAAGATGTACCCAAAAAGCACAATTGGCCAATTGAAGAAGGAAGGACAAAAACTCACAGAAGAAAACCTTCTATTAAAAACTAGAATTGGACAAGTGGGAACTAATGTCTCTATGAGAGAGCAAGAATCAGTCAAACAGAAACAAAAAAATGAAAAAATAGATGAAAACATAAAATACCTCATCGGTAAAACAATAGACCTTGAAAATAGATCCAGGAGAGACAATTTAAAAATTATTGCACTACCTGAAAATCATGATAAAAAAAAGACCCTAGACCATATCTTTCAGGAAATCATAAAGGAAAACTGCGCTGAAGTCCTAGAACCAGAAGGGAAAATAACCATAGAAAGAATCCACAGATCACCACCTGAGATGCCAAATTGAGAACAGCAAGGAATATAATAGCAACATTCCAAAATTACCAGGTGAAAGAGAAGGTGATGCAAGCAGCCAGAAAGAAACAATTTAAATATCATAGAATCACAATCAGGATTATGCAGGACCTTGCAGCTTCTACATTAAAAGACCACAGGGAGTGGAACATGATATTCCTTAAGACAAAGGAGCTTGGATTGCAGCCAAGGATCAATTACCCAGCAAAAATGAGCATCATTTTTCAAGGAAGGAGAAGGATATTCAAAGAAATAGGAGACTTCCAAACTTTCCTGACAAAAAGACCAGAACTCAACAAAAAATTTGATCTTCAAGTACAGGACTCAAGAAAGACATACAATGGTAAATGGGACAGAAAGATACAATATGTTGTTAATAAGGGTGGGCTGTTTACATCCCTACAAGGGAATGTAACACTTGCATAAATGGAGTCTTCCTTAAAATAATAAATAGCATATATCTAAAACCTTCAGCAAGCATTATATGTAATGGGGATAGGCTAGAAGCATATTCAATAAGATCAGGGGTGAAACGAGGCTATCCATTATCACCACTGTTATTCAATATTGTACTGGAGACCTTAGCTTTAGCAATAAGAGAAAAAAAAGAAATTGAAGGCATTAGTATAGGCAAAGGAGAAACAAAGCTATCACTCTTTGCAGATGACATGATGATATACTTAGAGAATCCTAGAGAATCAAGTAAAAAACTACTTGAAATAATAAACAATTTTAGCAAAGTTGCAGGCTATAAAAGAAACCCACATAAATTGTCAGTATTTCTACATATTACCAACAAAGCCCAACAGCAAGAGATAGAAAGAGAAATTCCATTTAAACTTACTATAGACATTACAAAATATTTAGGAGTCTACCTCCCGAAAGAAACCCACACTCTATGATCACAATTACAAAACACTTTTCACAGAAATAAAATCAGATCTAAATAATTGAAAACATCAGTTGGTCATGGAGGCCAGGTAATATAATAAAAATGACAATACTACCTAAGCTAATGTACTTATTCAGTGCTACACCAATTAAACTACCAGAAAATTATTTTATAGAGTTAGAAAAAATAATAGCAAGATTCATTTGGAAGAACAAAAGGTCCAGAATATCAAAGGAACTAATGAAAATAAATGCAGGGGAAGGTGGCCT